CGGTCCACAGTGTTGCATCCCTCTACTCATTTGGTCCATGCACATCGCTCTCTCGAGGAAGTTGACCGCCTATCCTAGATCTTTCCAACTTCAAGAAGATTCCGAACTCAATCTGGTTTAGTATCAAGGTGATTCTCTTTCTAAATACATGGGTCCGTGCAGCATTTCTCCACAATATTGTTATGATCAACTAATGAAAAAGTATCTAAACATAAATACTTATTTCATCTTTGGTACTATCCAACTTTAAAATGCATTACCTCGTTCAATAAAGTTGAAAAGCTAAAATGGAAGCATATTTGTACAATGGGGACAGAACCTTCCACATTTTAAAGAGAGGACTACAAGAAAGAATATTATCAATCCACTTATCCATTTACGTTGTGAATGTGTATACTGTGATTAGCTGGCCGTTTAAGTGTTTGATGCAAGCATCAGAAATAGTGCTTGTTTCCATTAAAGCATGTCCAAGAACTTCACCATTTCTGTCAGTAGTGACTATATAAAGTCATGTCGATAATCAATTGGCCACAATAATGACAAAAATGGCATACAGATATGTCTTGCTTTTTTGAAATGGTAAGAAAACATACAAAATTCTTCTGAACTGTGAGGCCAATTAGATTGAAAGGAAGAACAAAACTTGGCCAAGATCAGACAGATGAGAAACATAGTAATACATAATGTTTCTTGTCAACAGATTACAAAGATACAGATCTCATCAAACATTGCTAACCTTTTTAGTTGTTCCACCCACTCAGTAAACGTTCACAGAATAATTATAGAGCATTTACAAAATACTTCAGGCAGCCATGAGCCATGACAATGAAAAACAAATCAACTGCTATAACACTTTGCATCAGGCAAGAAAGGGTTCACACCCCATCCTTATTTAGAGTTCATAAAAGGATCATAAAACTACTTCAAAAGAGTTGTTCTGTTGGAATTTTTAGAAGAATTTGGCCAAAAGTTGATGTTTGTTTCAAAAAATGTAATAAAAAAGAAGAAAACTAAAAATGAAGTGGTAACTAAAGGAGGCCTAAATAAACCATTACTAAACATTAAGGACAGAAAATAATTATTCATTCTTTTCTTTCTATCTATCCTTTTCCTCACAGAGCCAAGCTAATCAAACAAAATCGATTATTTCCTCAAGCTAAAGATCAACAAACACAAGAAGATACAAGTTGATGACCTCCCTTCCCTTCCCCTACCCTCCAAGGTACTTATACAGTTTGAAATCAAATGTATACCTGATGCAGTGATGATCACTCTTCATGAACTATCTTGTGGGACACGACCAACGTCTTTGTTGAACACTGATTTCAGCGTAAACTCTGTTGCAGAAAGTAATGAACCAAAAAGGGACTAATGAAATGCATCCTCAATCCATAAAGCTTTCAATTACATCCTGTAAACCAGACAATATTGATTACTAACTAGAATTTACCAAAAAGATTTGGATTGAATGTTGCGAAAATACAAGTGCTTGAGGAGAAAAACCTTACCAAATGAATTGTTCGAGGTTAATTGTTTCAATGAAGTTCTGAGAGGTTAACCATCAATAGATAGGATAAATGTACACTGGATTCATCAGTCTCTAACTTGAGAATCCATTATTGCCTTCATCATCACCTGCCATTTACATTATCTTCAACATTTTGAATCAAACTCTCTACACGCTGTATTGCATGGACTTTAAAATCTGTATGTAGATTTTTCAGAAGCACGCCATGCGTAAAAGAATCGGGTTGAATTTCTCGATCTAGCATTTCTCTGTACAATCTTAGAGCCTCTTCCCAATAATCCATATTGCAGTTCTCATTTATTAATATGGTATAACTAAACTTATTTGGAAGAATTCCTTTTTCTTCCATCTCATCGAAATATTTATAAGCCTCGTCCAATCTCCTCACCTTGCAAAACCCATTAATTATTGCATTGTATGTGATTACGTTTGCTGGAACGCCCTTCTCGAGCATTTTCGAGAAGTACATAAATGCTAGATCCAGCATTCCCTTAGCTGCATGTGCATGAATGAGAACCGTATATGTTACTACAGAAGGGGCTAAACCCTTGCTGAGCATTTCATTGAAAATCTCTCTTGCCTTCCTCAAGTGCCCGTTTTTCATGAAAGCGTTAATGATACTAGTATACGTCACATGGTCTGGAACAAGACCGTTGTGAACCATATTCTCTAACAGATCACACGCCTCTTGAAGGTTTCCCTGTTCACAAAGTCCATGCACGAAAACGTTGTATGTGACGACATCTGGAGGGATACCCTCGGCCAACATTTCTTCTCGCATGCTATATGCTACAGATGTATCACCGAGCTTCATTTCTCCTACTATTCGAGTAATGTAAGCAAAACGATCAGGCTTCAACCCCTTGCACAACATCTCATCAAAGAACTCTCTGGCCATTGATAAATTCCCCAACTTGCAAGACCCATTAACCAGTATAGTATATGTAAAGATGTCAGGGAATAACCCTTGATCAATCATTTCCTTTTTCAACCTTAAAGCAACATCCAAGTAACCCAACCTGCAAAGCCCATATATAAGAGTATTATATGTTACCACGGTCGGAACGAGATCTCTGCATTTCAATTCATCAAACAAGAGAAAGGCCTCACTTATACTCCCAGACCTACAGTAACCATACAGTAAGATGTTGAACGAAACGATGTCTGGCATAAAGTTGCTTTTAAACATATCAGAAAACTGGAGTCTAGCATCTGTCACTTGCCCCCACTTACAAAGGCCGTACATGAGAGTATTATAAGTCGATAAGGTAGGGAAAGCTCTTCGATTCATCATTTCTTCCACAAGATCAAACGCTTCAACAAACAGTCCTTTCTTGCAAAAACCATTGATCAAAGGATTATATGTGTATGCCGAAACGTTGAGTCCAGAATTCAACATCTCTTCAATAAGTTCCTTTGCTTGTTCAAGCTTTCCTTTCTTCGACAACCCATTGACCAACACGTTGTAGGTTACATCATTTGGGAAACACCCTCTCTTTTGCATCTCTGACAGAAGCTCTAAAGCTTGATGTACTTGCCCCTCCTTGCAAAAGGAATCCAACATGGTATTAAACGTGACAATAGTTGGCTTAATCCCAAACTGTTCCATCATCCTATAAACAGTTTTAGCTTTACTCACGAGATTCTCATCTCTTAGAACCCTGAGAATCCTATTACAGTTCTTGACATCAGGCAGTAAACCATTCCGAATCATTTTATCAAAAACCAACAAGCATTCATCAACCATTGATTTCTTCGTGCATATCAACAATAGAATATCAAGAAGCTTAATTGAAGCCTCTAAACACAAATGCCCAGCAATTAAAACATCAACAACTCCGTGCATTTCAATGCTAACCACCCTCTCCATCACCCAATACGCAGAACCCATCAAATTATTCTGAGCAAGAATATCAAGAATAGCACAGAACACAAATTCCGATCCCTTAAAATCGGGCTGCGCCTCGACCCATCGGAAGAAACGCAAGGCAACTCTAGGCCTGATTCGAATGGAATTGAGGACTCGAATAAACAAGTCAGGGTCAATGATCACGGCACTAAATTGATCGGAGACCCAGTTATTGTTGCAAAAGGCCCAGGGCTTTTCTTCAATAGTGTCGAAGATGAGGTCTCTATAATGGGATTCCGATAGGGTTGCTATGGAGTTGTTTAGAGTGCAGGAAGGGAGCAATGAAGAGAAGGGGAGGAGAAGGCGTACCTTGAAAGAGAAAGGGTACTTAGCAGCTGTGGCGGCTATGGTCTTTGAAGCTCTAACGCAGAAGCAGAGGGTCATTGAGTAGAGAAGCTACACCATGCGTGGAACTGGCGCTCCTAAACAAGTAGAAATCTTGATGAAGGAGAAGGAAGGGAGTTCGGGTTCAGAACAAATTGCATACACATATTGAATATGACGGCGTGGCTCAACTCAGACGCCGCAACCATCCACCCTCGCCCTCCCCTGCCCTCGCTTTCAGATCTCACCCCAATAACACGCTTGCTAAATCTCTAAATAATTAAATTCCATCTAAAATTATCTCTTTTTTTTTTTTTTGCTAAAAAAAAACACCGAATTTCATTTTTTAAATTTGAATTAATTTCTATTCAATTATTGAATTTTAATTTGATTTCTGATGAGTTGTTTATGTGAAATTTGTTAGTAGGGTTTACAAAAGAAGAAATCTACTTTCGGTTAAAAAAAAATTAGGTTTAAAAACACGTTCTCTCTAATATTTAGTATCAAATCATCCCATATCTCAGGACATTTGGTCATTCTGGCTTACTCGAATACATTCGTTGGGAACTAGTCCATGTGTCGATCATCTCACGAGACATTTCAAACATCCATCCATTTAGTTCTTAAACCATTTACGGCATACATTCCAGATAGTGGGTGCACAATTCAACCTCCAACATATGGGTTGGGGCACAATACTGGAACACCCGTATTGTCGAGTACTGTTCTTGAAAAATCCATTTTGAAGGAAGCCGCCTAAGACAATCGTCTCGGAAGGAATGCTTGCCCACACTGTAACACACATGTGCCACAGGGTAGCTCACTCAAGTCACAAAGCTCAGAGGTAGTGGAGAGCCGATTTAATCTATGGACATTCTATCGACACGTAATGATTTAGTTCTTTGTTGTATAAATACTATTAAATCTTAATGAAAATTTTCGAAGATGTAGATTGATGAATGGATTGGAGGATCAAATTTGTTTATAAATCGTAAAACTGAAGTCGTTATCGTGGGCCGTATATTTAATGGGCCTAAAGTATAGGCCGGATAGAATTAGTGGGCCTAAATTATAGGCCAGAGAATTAATGGGCCTAAATTATAGGCCGGATAGAACTAATGGGCCTAAATTGAGAGCCGATTTTGAGCTGACAGCTTATTTTAGATTTGATACAAAGTTTTATGCTAAGTTACGCCTCTGGGCTTGGAAGCACGCAAGTACACCCCCAAAATATTATCATCCTCAAGTAAGGTCCAAAAATTGATGACTTAGATTTTTCGGAGGAGTTCTGATTTTTCGGCATAACGCTGAAAGCCCCCATCGATTTTGATTCAGAAAGATAAAGAAGAGATGGGAAGCATTAGCGGTGCTCTGACATCGCATTTGCAGCTCAGTCACTGCCGTTTCTCAGCTATAACCTCTCACTCTCAGCTTGCTTCAGCTCGAATTAGCCCAACGTCGAGAAGGTCGAAGTTGCGGTTCTCCAATTTGCTCAGCCGTAGAAATTTCAACAGATTTGTGTGTTCTGCTGTCGATGACGACGTAAGAGAGAAGCAGACAGATTTGGGTGGTGGAAATCGTTCCACCGTCGTCGAGGATGTGCCAGGTACTAATATTACCAAAACCATGTTTTATATCAAGGTCTTTTCGTCTGAAAGTCGTGCTTGGTTATAGTTTGCGATTCCAAACCATTTTGGAAGCTTTTTGTGACATGGTTAAACTGCTTATTTCTTTGGTTTTCCCTTATTAGCAATCGGATTACGTAGTGTTCGTCCTTAATTTTGTTTAGAACGTGCGCGTGATAGGATTAATCCTAGAAATTACCTGTGTCTAATAGAGAAGTATGTTCTTGTTAGATTTTTAGTTGAGCTTACGTGAGTCCAGGATTTGAAGGGCATAAGTGGATTTCTGTGGATCCATTATCCAGGAGGGATAAAACTTATTGGGACTGTTCATGCTCTCAAATTTAAATGTTCATTGTATATATTTGTTCCTACCTACTAAATGATGTGGCTTCATAAATTTGATGCTATAATTGATATACAAGTTGCTAATACCCCATTTTTTCATGGAAAAATAAATAGATATCGCCGAAAGCTCAACAAATGGGGCTCCAGAAAAGAGTGATGTATATAACTTTCTGTATCCCAGTAAAGATCTACTTCCAGATGATAAAGAAATGAGCGTGTTTGATCATCTTGAAGAACTACGTCAGAGGATATTTGTGTCAGTTTTGGCGGTGGGAGCTGCAATTCTTGGATGCTTTGCATTTTCGAAAGAACTCGTCTTAATTCTTGAAGCTCCAGTTAAGGAACAAGGTGTAAGGTTCCTGCAGCTTGGCCCTGGGGAGTTTTTCTTTACAACATTGAAGGTCAGAACTTTGAATGATGAAATATAATTGCATTATTAGTATAATCATTTTTATGGACTTGCGAGTTGTGAGCATGGTGACCATCCATTTGGGTAGCTATTGATACTAAAATTGGATACAACAACAAGAATCTAATTAGATATTAAGAACATAGAAAAGTACACTGTATATCGTTATTTGAAATCAGCTTTTTAGTTATATGATGATTTTGCACTAGGATGCATTCTGAATATGCAAACGTAACGAAGCTATGGCATCGCTTACCCTTTTTATTTGTTAGTATCTCGATGTTGAATTAGAACACTTTCCTTACTGTATCTATCATTTTGGTGTGTATTTATATTAAGAGTCTTGTGGAGGAGAATTTCACACTGATCTTACTAAAGAAGTGAGAAAGTGCTCCACGATGGGTCGTGTCGAATCTTAAGATAGCGCATGTTTCAATTGTAGTTCTTCGGTTGAGTTTGTTCTTTTATTCAAATGCAGCCAATTCCTGGTGCCCATTCTTCATTCCCAATATTAAATATTGTTTCTGATTTGTGTTTAATTCCAAAATTCATTCTCCACTTCCCATATGCAGTTGTATATTAGCGCATGTTGTTGATGGGGTCAATAACAGTAAAATTCTCCTTGTGCGCTCCAGGTATCAGGATACTGTGGCCTTCTCCTTGGAAGTCCTGTCATCCTCTATGAGATTATTGCGTTTGTTCTTCCAGGATTGACAAGGGCAGAAAGACGGTTTCTTGGGCCTATCGTCCTAGGCTCTTCTGTACTTTTTTATGCAGGAATTGCCTTCTCCTACATAGTTTTGACACCAGCAGCTCTAAATTTCTTTGTTAGTTATGCTGAAGGAGCTGTTGAGTCCTTGTGGTCCATAGATCAATACTTCGAATTCGTTCTCGTCCTTATGTTCAGTACAGGCTTGTCTTTCCAGGTAAAGATTTTGCTTCATAAATGAATTGGCAGTGATATCCAATAGTAAATCATTCATGGTAATTTCGTCCTATGGAGCTAGCTTTTTGACAGCGTTCATTTCATCGTATTTGTAGGTTCCAGTAATACAGATTCTACTCGGACAACTTGGACTGGTCTCAGGAGACCAAATGTTATCGATTTGGAGATACGTTGTTGTTGGTGCAGTGGTGGCAGCTGCTGTACTCACACCATCAACAGACCCCTTAACTCAGGTGCTTCTGGCGGCTCCCCTGCTGGGTCTTTACTTGGGGGGTGCCTGGGTGGTCAAGCTCTCAGGGCGATAAATTCAACCCTGGTTTGTCAGCACTGTGAGAATTCTGTACATTCATGGAATTCTATTGTGTAGTGTAATTGCAACACCAATTAATAGAAGGGAATATACGTTCCACGAATCTTTCTAAACTACTCTGCTTGTCACTGTAAAAATAGGTAATTTTTTCTGTTATGAATTACACAATAATAGAAATCTGTTTCTTTCATGACAAGAACTAGACCTATAGTAACAAAACTGGATCCGAGGCTGTAGATATATCAGATTAGATGGATAATCTCGTTTAGACGTTTAACGTTACATTCTGCCTTCTACTTTCTAGAATTCTACTTTCTAGATCAGAATCTGTGAAGCCACCTAGTTCGATCTCGAGCTGCTTCAATGAATTTCGGAGATTGTTGCATGCCTGAAGAAAGCCTTCCGAATTACCATTAAGACCTCCCAACTCTGCCTGCATATTGTCAAGAAAGCTAGAAATTTTCTCAGAAGCTTCTTTAATGGCTGGGACCTCTTGTGGGGGATAAAGACGAGCTCCAAGCTCGTCGACCTGTACTCCAATTCCTTGGCATAGCCTCAATAGATTCTCCAAGGTTGCTAAGTTACTTTCGTTGGTTTCATTTTCCAGCTTAAGCAAACTAGTGATAGAGCGAATGAGTTCCTTAATAACTTGAAGTATTGAAGATATGATGCTAATAGCAGATTGAGCAACTCTCATCTCTTCGGCTGACAAATCGTTACCTATATCGGCATCACCGCTTGTATTACCCTCATCCTGCAAGTGCAAACTGCTTTCAACCTTGCTAGATGATTGTTCGGGAGCGTCGTCCAAGTCAGAGGGACCTTGTTTAAGCTCCTTCATTTCTCGGAGGACGTCCTTCACTGATACAGCAACCTGCATTATTGCTCGGCCAATTGCAGTTACATTTGTGGAAGGAGCTTTCTTAAGAGAAGAGCAAGCTTCCCAAACTGCACCAACCAACTGCGGAACTACTTGGTTTTGATCCTTACTATCCCGAGGTCCTGAAAAGTTCATTCACCAAGGTTAACACTAGTTCTATCAAAAGAGTAGAACAGAATTGCAAACATGAATTCACAACAACGAATAAATGAATTTAACCATATCATCAGTACTCTACGATGGAAACTTAACTCCATGATATTGTAATAGATAGTCTAGTTTAACATGAACTCAAGGGTACTCCCAAGTCTCCAACTGATATCATGGGAGTTCAACTAAACCATCATCTTCCATAATTCAGCGTCAGATTTCTTGAATCAATGCATTATAGTTGCAACATTATACAAAATATATGATGTCAAAATTCTCGGTCACTACTTGTTCGGTTCAATCGAAACGACATCCAGAGCCGTTTAAACATAAAAAAAGACAAGTAGATACTAGAAAATGATGAATCAAACAAAAAAATCAATGTACAACAAGATCTAGATCATACATCAAAGAGGTCCTGACGCAGAAAAAGGAACAGCAAACAATGAACTTATTCTTCAAAACTTTTCCTGTGGGATAACCTAATATTAGTCCAAGCTACTCGTGTTTATGACTGTAGAGAATAGTTGTGAACGTATACATCATGAAGAAAATTTGGCTGGAAATTTGCGATAGAAAGAAGATGAATATTCATTTACCATATAAAGAGATGGATTCCTTCCATAACTTGGAACTTGAATCAATTACTTGTTTCACAGATGCATGGATAACAGAAGATAAAGTAGGGCCAGCACCCACTTTACTCCCATGGGAAACCAGGAGGAAACCCTGCAGCATAAGATGCCATGTTTTCCTCAATTTCTGTAACTTATAGTCTTCCTCCAGTCCACACCATTCCAGCTACAGGGCAAACAAAATATACAACCAATCAAATTCGTGCCATTGCTCATCAACTACAAGAAATCAAATTTTAGGGACATAAATGCAATCAACAAATATCTAATCGTTTGGGAGATTCTTAGAACTTAAAACGTAAAGCACAATTTCAAATCAAAACATCAAAACATCAAAAACAGATATGCCTGCAGAAACGCAATCACAATTGAAGAAAAACCGTAGAAACACTAAGAATAATGATAAACGAAGCGAAATCATACCCACAGTCGCCTGCTTGTAGACTTGGTCGCTCATTTTCAGAACATCCTCCCAGCTCACCTTTTCAAGCGAAGATGATGGATTTTGATCCAACATCTACAAGTGAAATCATATCGGAAGGCTGAGTATCCATTGAAATGCAATTTTACAAACAGAAGCTTGTCTGAAAATCAAACCTGAAAAGTTTCATGGATGGTGTTCAGATGCGAGTTGAGAGTTCGAATGAGGCGCTCTTTATCCGGTTTCCCCATCACAGTCGGCGAGCGAATCCCTCTGAGAATGGGGTGCACTTGGTTGATTCTGAGTAACAGCAGTATTGAGAATCGTGTTCCGATGGCCTGAAAAGGCCGTAATTCTTTGCTGGGGTTTACGCTTTATAGAGAATAAAACGACGTCGCTCTTGCATCTCTTCAACCTATCCCAATTCCCACTACTTTTTATTTTATTATTATTATTTATTATTTTATCTTTCTTCCTTCCAAATTATAAAAAAAATCATCGATTTTTTTTTCCTATTTCATGACAAACTTTAACTTACATAAAATAATTTAAAAGAAAATTAAATTATAATATATCAATAAAAATTACCTCAAAATTTGTTACTTCCTTCTCTCTTTTTTATTCTTTTTTTTATTTTGTTGCATTAATTTCATATTTACAAATTAAAAATCACATTTCAAAATGATTAAATGGAAAGTAGCTTAACATATTATTAATAAACTCAAAATTGGTACTTACAAAAATAAATGTTAGTAAAATATTCATATAATAGTATAAATTAATTTCTAAAACATTGTATTATAGTATAAACTCGAGACCAACTCCAAAATTCTAGGTTAAACAAAATAACATGACATAATAACTAAACAGCACGACACAGTAACTTGAGGTTTCAAAACTCCAAGTTAAACAAAACAACACGAATATAATAACGCGAGGCTTCAAGACTCTCCACAATGATATGACATTGTCCATTTAAGCATAAGCTTCCATGTCTTTGCTTTAGGTGTCCCCAAAAAGTCTCAAGGAAATGAAGAGAGTATTTTTTATTATTATTAACTTATGAACATTATCTAAATTAGTCAATGTGGGGCTTTCATCGGACAGTAGCTACCTTATTTAATTAAAGTTTATGTTGTTATTTTATTAAACTCTAAACGTTAATTTTAATCAATACAATTAATTTTAAAATTTGATAAAAGAATAAAGACTAAATTTAAAGATCCGAAGTTGTAAAGTATATAAAAATAATAGCGTTGGACTTCAGAGCATATCCAATTAATAGGAATGGGCGGATCTCAGTTAAAGTCAGGCGGACTTGCTCCCTGTTGTATATGATTTGATGGGGCAACGTGAGGCCAGTTGTCTCTTTGGTGTCCCCTTCCGTTCAACATGGACCAATGATTGGAGACACCATAAAATACAATTTTCCAACATCTTGGGAATCAAAATTAGCTATTCACTGTCTATTTTTATTATATTTTTATTCTTATTCCATTCAAATATCTATTTTTTAAATTTTGACTATCAATTTCAAAATTTTATTAAAAATGACGAGGATAGAGAATCGATTAAAACTCTCATCATCTATTAGATGAGTAAACCAAACCGAATTAAATTTTTCTTCTAGACACAAATCGCTGAAGATCCAACTCACTGGTAAATGCAAAATAGATAGTTTTAACCCGGAAAACCCTAAAAAAAAGAGGAAGAGTCGTACGGGAGCCTAGACAAGACAAGACGAAAGGTCTCTCTAGAAAAATTGTGTCAAAAAAATTAAATAAAATATTTTATTAATAAAAAACAAATAATTATCAAACCATACATATTTTTCAACATAGTAGTTGCCGTATTTTGACTTTTATTAGAGTAAAGATTTAAATTAGTAATATTATGTCATCGTAATTATATAATTATAAACAGTAAAGTAAAATAAACATATTAATAATTAAGGAGTAAGTAGAATTTTTGAGATGATAATTACTCTGGATTTATTCACGTAGGTTATACCCAAATTGACAAATCGATACATAGTTAGGTAAACCTTAAAAGCATCAAAATTTAGCGAGACCACTCTCAAACGTGCACACAACAATTAAGAGCTGGACCGAAGCAGTGCTGGCTCCAATGGCTTCAAATCAAAGTTAAGTAACCAATGGGTGTGGGTCTTTGCATCAAATATTCTTCTAATATCTCATGTAGCACAGAACACAGAATCAGCATTCAAGCACTTGGCGCCTCATATTTATTTCCAAGCCCTTTGTCTTCAAACATCCTCTCCCTTGCTTCATCTGCCTGTAACATCACAGCACAAAACAATGTTCATTTGGTTCATACTATGTTCGAACTAAAACCATCAACAAATGTATGTTTCTCAGCTTTTCATCAAACAACAAAACACATGAAATGGAAGAAGATTCAAGAGAGGCTGAAGATTAGGACCTGTTTTTCCCAATTTACACGGCTCATGACGATCGCGAGTAGAAGCATCTGCACGAAAGCGCCGCTTTGGATGCCAATCCACAGGCCCCTCCCTCTCAGATTTGCCAAGAAACCAAGAGCTAAAGCAGCTGGATTTCCACAGAGATAATAAGCCCCTAAGTTTATATAAGCCCCAACACGCTGCCAACCACATCCTCTTATAATGCCTGTTTCAACAATAATAAAACAGATCAACTAGCCGTGCCAAGAAAGCCAAGGCTTATTGACATTAAACACACAAGTTTTGTTTTAACTACCAGAAACAACCCCTTGAATGGCATCAAAAATGATTGATATACAAACTAAGGGAGCCATGACAGCAACATAATCCACAACTTCTCTATCGCTGCTGAAGGCATAACCAAAAACATGTCGAAGAGCGAACAGAACCATGCTCACTATGATGATCGACACAACTGCAAGAAATATCGATGCTCCAGCAGCTACACGAGCAGCTTGCGGCTTCCCAGCTCCTAATTCATTTGAAACTCTGGTACTGCAGCACCAAGAACGAAAGCAATCCTTTCAAAATGACTGATTCATTCATGATAACAAGAAAATTTGCAAAGGTATGTATGTCTTGATACATACCTGCCAGAACTGCCGATTCCATATGCTATTGTAAATATTGTTGTCATGGTATTGAAGCTGTTCATGAATGTCATATTTCAATCATTTTCCATTTGATTCAAAAGAAACTCGTTTTTTTTTTCGATTGAGGGAGGATTTTGAAGATTACCAAACAGATAGAACTGAAGACTCCAGCTCTGGATTTGGCAGAAGCCCAGCCAATAAGATAATCAGCTCAAATGACCACCAACTAAGGCTGCAATCACCACCATTAAAATCAAACCAAGAACCCCATACTGATTATTCGAGATGATGAACACGAAGAAAGTGAAAGTAGGTTACCAAGTCATGACTGCAGAAGGGACAGCGAAGTGAAGGAAGAGTCCAATTCCTTTGAACAGCTCCATAGACACAACACCGCGAGTTTTTTCACACTTGGGGGAAAATTTCATATATAAAGCAAGAAGAATCACATTCAACCAATATGAAATACTTATGGCTAAAGCTCCACCAAGGTTTTTGAGTCCAGTTTTAAACACCAAAACCCAACAGAGAGGTATGTGCAAACAAAAGGTAATCCAACTAAATAGGAGCATGGGAAGAACAAAAACTTGCATCTGATAATATCTCATAAGTGGATGTAGAAATGCGTAAGCGAAGAGCGCAGGAATAAGCCAAATCATGAACCTCCCAACTTCACGTGATATCACAGGATCTTGGCCAACCAAAACAAGTAGCTTCCCAATGTTGATCCATAACAAAGTTATAGGGAGGCAAACAAGCAGCAGACACAATATAGCAGAGTAAACATGATTTCCAAATTTTTGATATTGTCCTGCCCCATAAGCTTGCCCACATAGTGTTTCAAGTGCACTAGCCATGCCTATCTGCAAGTTTAGTTTAAAGAACATCACAATCAGGCTTCTAAGAACGAATTCAGAGGATAACTTAGCAAACCAATTGATTTCAGAGGATTCACGGAAGTAATCTTAATCATTGAAATGGAGTAAGCAATAATTTAAAGATTACAGGATCTACAGGAAAGTACTTCAGAACATTGAACCCTAGAATACATATCAACTACATTGATGAGAAAGGAGAGGAACTTACAAGCACACTGAATCCTGTAACAGCAGCTAAAGAGACGGCTATGGCGGTGCTTGAGAGAGCGAGTTCATCGATATGACCTACAATCATTAAAGAACCAGTCTGTATCAAGAACTGAGACAGATTGATAGCAGCCAATGGGACCGCTAAGAGCCCAACAGTCTTCGCCTCCGTAAAGAAAGCATCCCATGTCGTCTCCCTGCGATTCTCGACCCATTCCAGCAATGGGGAATCGACCATGGCTATGACTAGAAACAAAATTTTTTAAAAATAATAATAATATTATTAACAAAAAAATGAACACGAAGAAGATGTATGCAGAAAATCAATGCAGCGGTAACGTTCTTATAAAGCCAGTATGAACTAAACAATGAAATACAGCTGTGTGGGTAAAGCGTGACCCAGATCTGTACACGTTTTTGCCGCTATCCAAATCTTGACTTTCTTATTCAACAATGGCTACTTCTTCCTTCCATTTACAATCACTCCCCAAATACATCAACCGACAAATATTATTCATTTTGACCCATTATATATCATCCTCACTCTCACTATATAAAAAATATTTTGTTTCTCTCTCCAATCGATGTAAGACTTCACAATCCATCCCTTACGAGACCAGCATCTTTGCTAACATGCCGCCTCAAAACCTAGCTCTAATATCATTTATAACAGTCCAAGTCCACTACTATTAAATGTTGTTCGTTTTAGCCCATTACGTATGGTCGTTAGACTCGCGATTTTAAAACGCCTCGAGAGTTTTACACACCTTTATAAGGTATGTTTCCTTCCCATCTCCAATCAACATGGACCCTACAAGAAAATGTTAATAGAAATATTGACTAAATGTTTATATTGATAATCAATATATATATATATATATATATATATATATATATATATTTATCAGAAGAATAGTTATTTACTATACTTTTCTTAAAGTATTATGAAAATTAGTGCGCCATTTGCATAGAAATAATAGAACATTGTAACCTCATAAAGGTGGCCAAGATGGCCATGTGCATTCTAAGCTTAGCTACTTATTAGAAAGACCTTTGAATTCAAGGTACCTAGATTTAGAGGTTTTTTTTTTTTTTTTTCTTTTTCAAATATTAAAACATTTAAAATAGTAGGCATGGAGGAGCATGGGAGTAAAATAAACCCATTTGAATTTTGAAATAAATATATATATATATATATATATAAATATAACAAACGACTTTTAGAAACATTGTTATAAAATAAACCTACGTGTTTGCTGTTGTTTTAAAATATTCTCTAATAGATTTGCTCCGATAATGTATTTTCATTTAATTTACGTATTGGAAGAGATTTTCAACACTACTATGTATAATTAATTATAGCTCTAATTTTTTAAATATTTTCATTTTAGGGATATTATGATGACATCCAAATAAGAACATAAAGTGAATTGGCTAATTTCACGTAACATGACATTTTTAGAAGGTGAATTATTATTTTCCTACGTGGAGTCTACGTGGTTTATAACATGGTAGTTGTCAACGGTGTCTTTTTCTAATTGAAATTTATATATATATATATTTTTTTTTTCATTCCAGAACCGTTTGTTTTATAATATACCTATTTAATTTATAAAATATATCATTTAATTTTGTAATATATTGACTTTCAAAAGCTTTATTATAGACTTTTAAAGAAAATAAAAAATATTTTTGCACTTACTAAGGAAGAATGTTACGGTGGCATCCAAGTAAGGAAATGAAATGAAGTGGATTGGCTAAGCTTGTCTAACATGACACATTTAGAAGGTGAGCTACTACTATCTTCCTACGTGGACTCTGCGCTGTCTATAACATATTCTCCTACGTGGACCTGACGTGGTCTATAACAAGGTAGTTGCCAACTTTGCCTTTTTTTTTTTCTAATTGGAATTTATATAATATTTATAAAATATCTTTGTCTCGTTATCCACTTTATCCTGTAATATATCTATTTTATCCTATTATGTATCAACATCAAGTTTACAATTTTTAAATGTATCTGGTAGAGATAATTTTAACATAGTTTATCTCTCTAACATTTTTTATTTTTAGAATCTCCCCAACCTTCTAAATTCAGTATGCTCTCCAAAGATGTTTAAATTATTTATATCCATAAATTTAAATATCTATTAAATCTAATTATTCATCGGGAATATATTAAATATATATACACAAAAATCTCCTCAATGTATTACAAATATTTTTAATTTATAAAAAAAATTATTTATATCATGTAGAATTAAAACACCCCATATTATTCACTTGTATCTATATTAAGGGACGACCATCGTTGGGCCACACTCAATAATTGCCCTTTCATTATTTTTTTTCTTTTTCTATTGCATTAAATAAATGCGATTTGAACATTTCACCAGACCATTTAATTGGTAGTGACGGATGTGTACAAAAAGTAGGAACGTAGTCAATTTGAGCTAACGACTTGCGCTTATTTGAAATTTTTCGTTGAATCTTAACAATTGCAATGATTTATCCCCATCACGATGAATTTTCAAAAATTGCTCGGCCCTGTCAGCTAAAGTTATAGACTCTTTGAATATATTATTATAGCGCGTGTGCGATCCAAAACATCTAAAGACATCACAGACTTGTTATTGCCGTAAACTTCCTTGACCTAAGCGGCCATAGTCCCTCTAAGAAGATGGCTATAAAGGGATTTCTTCGCGTAGCTGGTTTGTAGGAAGAGGTCTCATTGGTTTAAATATGAAATAATAATAAATAAATAAATTAGTAATAAATATATGTATGGGGAGGCGTATCTTCTGGATTCACATTCTGACCTTGTGATACACGTGACAAAAGAAAAAACAAAAAAGTATATTTTATTTTGTTTTTATTTTATTTTTAAATACAAAGTAGTGAGATTTGGACGTTAATTTAAGAAAAACAGTGCACGCCAATAATTTTAATATTTTTTAAATTATATCGCTTTCAAATATAAAAAATAGTCAATAATAAACTTATATAAATCAATATTATATGGACCGCGTGGACCCTTTTTCTTATAATAATGATTTATGCTAATTATGACGATATTATGTAATATAAAATATGATTAATCAGTATTAAGGTTAATTGGCCTTTTCTTTTTTTTATTAAAACTTGCCACGCAAGCAATATTTATTATTATTATTTGAAAGATGAATTTTTTTTAATGATTTGAAAGATAAAAATAAAAAATAGATTTTTAGCCACCCTGATACCATGTTAGGAATCACTCTTCTCTACAATGGTATGATATTGTCCATTTTGAATATAAGTTCTCATGATTTTATTTTGGGCTTTTTTAAAACGCCTCGTACCAATAGAGATAGGATTCATCGATTATAAACTCATGATCTTCCAGAAACATTATAATTTTCTTTTCCGTTTTTAAATAAATATTATATTAAAAAATAAAAACTTCAAAACAATTATTCGATCATTGGTTTGATTCTACAAAAGTAAATGAGCAATTTCACAAGAATAAAAAATGAAATAGATGTTTTTTTTTTTTTTTGTGACTATTTATTTTATCTTATTTATTTATTTGTCTTTTCTCAATCTGTTTAAAGATAATTGATTTGTTCGATCATTTTACTGTATATTCAATGTAATTTTCACGACATTATCGTTGTTTTTTAACCTTCGTACTTCTATATTTTTGTCTGCTCAATGTCAATACTCACTCTCACACCAATTCATATTCACTCTCAAGAGTCGTATCATTGTATATAGTTCTTATTTTAATATGAAACGTAAATAAATAAATAAATTACTGACATTAGCGTAAAAGGAGTGTTCCAACACGTTTTGAGATAAAAAGGACAAAGTGGAAGTAGAGTAGAAAACGACTAAGAAACTCGAAAAGAGAAAAGGAAAGAGTAGACCGAGTTTATATATTTTACACAAGGATAGCGTTGTAATTTCATACTTCAGGTAAATAATGTTGGTAATTTCACTTTATTCATATTATTGATATTATTTTCCCAAAATTGTAGATAAATATTAATTCCAAAGTTGCAAACTTTTTGTACGACATGGTTAAAACTTAAAATATCGGAAGTTTGTAAACATAAAAACAATTTATTAAAGGTATTAAACAAATTATAATTTTCATTATTATTATTTAAATAAGTTAATTAAACAAAAAAACAGAAAACCATTGTCATTATTATTACAGAGAAGATTTATTGGGCAAAAAGTAAAAGCCCAGCCCATAAAAAAGGGGTCCATAATTAGGTAAAATTAGAGCCTATTGGGCCAAACATTCAGCCCATTAAGGGTGTTGACTTTTTGTTGTCTGTTTCCTAATTTAGTGGACAAACCAATGACACACCGACACGTGGCCCAATAAACGCAAACTCATTTCAACCGGGGAAAAACGGAATAAAAGGAAGTATTAAAACTCAAATTTTGTCCCACTTTTTTTTTTTGTTATTATTGAATCAAATAATTGTTTTAATCTAAACTGATTGTAAAAAATTTTAGGCTTTTACTCATAAAGATATGGTAAAAATATTTGTTGAAAAAGAGCAATTGTGCTTTATCTTTGTTAGGCCGATAGCAAATGTGCCCTTGTCTGTGGTCAAATGAATTAGCCCCCAGGTGCTCGTGCTCGTGTTGGTCTTACTGGACTAACTGTGGCTGAGCACTTCCGTAATGCTGAAGGGCAATGCTTCTCTTCATCGTCAACATTTTTCCGTTTTACCCAGGTAAGCTTGTGCTCCGAGGTTCGTATTGATGCTCTGTTTTGTTAAGATCTTACTGTGTCAATGTCAAGTTGAGAATCATATTAACGGCTTGTCTTATTTCAAATTATCCTTTTTCTTCTGTCTCACAGGCTAACTCAGAAGTGTCTGCTTTGCTTGGTCGTATCCCATCTGCCGTCGGTTACCAACCAACCTTGGCTACTGATCTTGGAGGCCTTCAAGAGCGTACCACAACCACAAAGAAAGGTTCTATCACTTCAGTTCAAGCTATCTACGTGCCTGCTGATGACTTGACTGACCCCTGCTCCTGCTACCACTTTTGCTCACTTGGATGCCACAACTATGTTGTCACGACAGGTGCAATCAGGTTTAATTCTGAGATGATTTCATACGTTGTATTCTACCCTATCTGACTGGTTTCCTGTAAACAGATCTCTGACCTCGGTATTTATCCTGCTGTTGATACTCTACATCTCGAATGCTTTCTCCTCATATTTTGGATGAGGAACACTACAATACTGCTCGTGGAGTACAAAAGGTGCTTCAAAATTACAAGAACTCGCAAGATATAATTGCCATTTTGGGTATGGATGAGCTTAGTGAAGATGACAAGTTGACGGTTGCACGTGCACGTAAGATCCAAAGGTTCTTGAGTCAGCCTTTCCATGTTGCAGAAGTCTTCACGGGTGCTCCTGGAAAATACGTCGAGTTGAAAGAGAGCATTACCAGCTTCCAGGTATCTTTCAGGCCTTATATTTGATTACTATTTGGCTTTTGAAAATGGGTATTGATTTCTCACAAACAGTACTTTGGTGTTTGTATGAATAGGGGGTGTTGGATGGAAAGTACGATGATCTTTCAGAACAAGCATTTTACATGGTGGGAGGCATTGAAGAAGTTGATTGGCAAGGCAGAAAAGATCGCCAAGGATTCTGCTGCTGCTGCTTAGTTCACCATTTTTGTTCTTCCTTCAGCTTGATAATTATGAAAATTAATAACAGGGTTTTCAATTTTTGGTTGAGATGCAACGCAACCAGAGATATCTTCTGCTCTGTTCTAAGTTTTGTTGCAGAATCAGGAAGAGAGTGTCACCAGCATCATAATACGGCTTCTCCCTGTATGCTCCTTTGCTCTGTTCTTTTTAACAAGGGGAGGAAACAGCAGGACATGTAACAAATTTTGCCATAACATCTTACCGTATAATCAAATCCCTTCTATCTATTCATGTTAGTCGAATTATGTTTATGTTAGTGCATAAACGACGTAGTTTTTCATCTTTTTTTTAAGTTGCTTAGGAACTTAAAAAATATGTTAATATAATACTCTTTAGTCAATGTATATGTTTGTATATATAGAAAATATAACAGCAAAAATGGCAGGAAATTAAAGACAGAAAATCGAAACAAATCCAACGGCTGAGAGTATGCTACAAACTAATCTCATCGATCTAGTTATCCTCCAGCATCCAAGGATGGTTTGTAAAGGCGCCACGTGGAACTCCAATTAATCTTTCTCCTCCCGATTATTTGGTTTTATCGGCGCGTTCTATCAAATCGCCACCTCATTGCAACCTGACCATCTCGCCAAAGCCGCCGGCTTTCTTCGTCCCTTTTCCGCCGTCAACGCCAAACTCCGGTATATAACTAAGCTCCATCTCCATGTCTATATCCATCTCCTTCCCTAATTCTTCTCTTTCTCTCTCCCTTTCCCCTCCCTCCTCTCTTCCCCATGCCCTCTTTCCTCCTCCTCCCTCTTCCATGTCTCTCCTCCGCCGCTTGACGCCCGGCAATCTTAGATTTAACCTCCGTCAGCGCTCCGGCCGATTCGCTACCGCTGCTGCTGCAGCCGTACGTCAGGACACTGCTGCTTGGACTCAAGCTCCTCTCGCCCAAGTCGAGCCTGCCGCGGAGTCACTCTTCCATATTTCCATAGACGTGTCAGACGCGCCGGACCTCGCTGTTTCTCACACGCGTGCTGGTCAATACCTGCAGCTTCGTGTCCCTGACGTGGAGAAACCGACGTTCCTTGCCATTGCGTCTCCTCCGTTACTTGCCTCTGCGGAAGGCGTGTTTGAGTTCCTGGTGAAGAGCGTGGAGGGCTCAATCGCTGAGCTTCTCTGTGGATTGAAGAAAGGAGATGTCGTACAACTCAGTCAGGTCATGGGGAAGGGGTTCGATGTCGATCAAATCGCGCCGCCTCAAGATTACCCTACCGTTTTCATTTTTGCTACTGGATCTGGAATCAGGTGCGCACTCATTTCTCGTTTTAGAACTTCATTCTCCTCCTTTGGCTTAACTTACCCCACATGCTTTGTTTTCTAGTTTTCTGTTCTTCGTTAATGTTCTTCAGATATATGGATGTTGTCGTACAAATAATAACGAATTAGAATCAGAAGATTGTGAACGTCAATTTTGGTTAATGTTTATATGCGCAGTAAGGTTATATATCGATTTTGTTTCCTTTAGCTTTAGCTCCTGGTGTAGAAAACGGAAATTCAAGAGCAAAAAGTCGCCATTTCGAGTGGCTTGTTAAGGTCAGGGCAGGAGATTGTCAAGTTGGACAACGGTAGAGAGCTTGTAATTGTACATTCTTTGTATAGAACTCAGATATTAACCCGATCCCTCGACAAAGAAACTATGACAAAATTGGGAGCGATTCATATTTACCATCTTCTATATGTCCAAAGTGTCTAAATAGTGGATGAACTCAAAAGACATTAATGTAAATTTTAGGGTTTCTTGTAAAAATGGCGTATATATTCAGGATGAGATCAAGATCAGTATTGTAGTCCTACCGTTGTAAGCATCCTTCTGGGCAAACCCAAAGTTGTTGAAACCAATATTGTCCGAGAGATTGTTCAAATTAAATAGTTTGAATGCGTTGAAACTTAGCTTCTGTGCAGAGTTCACTCAACCGAAAATTATATCATCGTCTTTGTTCTCCTAAATTTAGAGAACTATTCTTTAGAGCGTGCTATCTCAAGGCAAAAGTTACTTAGCTTATTTTTGTAACTTGATTCAAAGTTGCTAACCCAATTCACAATCAGATGAAAAATTGAACTTCCCATTTTCTACCGTTGTGATTAACCATTGAATCTTCATTATGAATGTCTTAAGTTAGAATATGTTTCCTTTTGAAGTTCAAACAGTTAATATTCGCTTAGGTAGATAGGGCTGGAAGTGTAGGGTTGATACCTCTGTGTGCCCCCCCTTCAATCTCCCTAGGAGAGGATATGGAGGCAGAGGGTTATTTGATTCTTATTTTTGTATTGATTTCTCAGTGTTTGGGTTTATTATATAATCGTCTTGGATATTTCCTCTTTGTAAGATCATTTTAAGAAAAAAGCATTGCTATACTTATCAATTATTGTTTGTCACATTGTAAATAATTTTCCTTTTCATTAACTAAACGAATCATCGGGCTACAATCTGCTCGTATGTTGTGGTCATGGCCTGTTTTGTTGAACATAATTGATCCTATGTTCTCCTAATGTATAGGATGCAATGGTAGTGGGTCTTGTTTTTCATTTGCTTTATAGGGCACTGTGCTCTCGGGATGTATTCCTTAGCTATAGGATATGATGTTGCTACTCTTTTGCTGCTCAATGTGTCCAGTTGTCCCACAGTTTAGGGAACTTTGGTATACTAAGTTTTTTACTTTTCGTTTGCTTTGCTGGTCTGACTGTTTACTTATCGATTTTGTGTAGTCCAATACGATCTCTAATTGAGTCAGGCTTTGGCGCCAGTAAGAGGTCTGATGTGAGGCTATATTATGGTGCAAGAAACCTCAAAAGAATGGCTTATCAGGTCTAGTTAATATTTACTTGTTGCATTGCCGCTTATTATCTACAGAAACAAGATCTGTGAAACTCATTTGTTTCTTTCTTTTATAGGATAGATTCGGTGAGTGGGAATCTTCTGGTGTTAAGGTTGTGCCTGTATTGTCACAACCTGAGAATGATTGGACTGGTGAAAGTGGCTATGTTCAGGTAGGTCTGACTTTAGACGTCTCCATCTCCTTATTTCATTCTGTTGAAATTGTGGGAATGTGGGTTAACGCCTGCCGTTTTTTCCCCTTCTTATAGGCTGCCTTCACAAAAGCGAAGAAAGCTTTTGACCCTCGTTCGTCGGGTGCTATACTCTGTGGTCAGAAACAGATGACTGAGGTACCCTGTGCTGGTTCACTGTTCTTCTTCTTCTTATTATTTATTATAAAATGAAAGAATACAAAGGCATTCATACAATAAGTCCAAACAAAAAGAGCCTCAAAACAAATTATAGAAAGAGACTCCAATCTGAAAACAGGACCAATATCACAAGTACAAAAAGGCCTAGTGATCCTGCCCAAAGAGCAATAAATCTAACCACCTCCCTACCTTCCTCATCTGATCTCTCAACCTCTCGTCGCTGTTATTTCTAGATTGTGCTATTATATGATCCTGAACCACTGCTATGAAGGAAGGGTAATGTCAAGGTCATCCTGATGTTTGCTTGGTGTAGTGCTATTATATGATTTGATTACTCGAGGACTAGATTCTTAAAATCGCCATTTGTTCTGCTTATATATATTGGTTGTGAATGAATAACCTAGTGGAATCATTCAGTTGAGAAAATAATGAACAAGTAATTTAGCGTTATATCCTGGCTAAAATGATAATCTCTTAAGCAAACACTCATTTTCTCATCGTTTTTGCAGGAAGTTACATCAATTCTTGTAGCAGATGGAGTCTCTAGTGAGAAGATACTAAAGAACTTTTAAAAAAAGAAACAAACAGATGATAGCATTGTTGTAACCCATTTGGTCGAAGTTGCTTATAATCATTTTTTTCACCCTACTGCTGAGGCTAAGCACCTAAACAAGATAAAAAAAAAATGTATTTTGGGGACTAGAAACATCTACAATATTTATGTCCAAATTTTTCAGGACTGATGCGGCCAAGGTGTAGAACTTCTACCTCCTATCTGTTCTCATTTGGAGGTCAGGTTCCCACGTACTGATAGAAATTTCTTGGAACTTCATATTTTGGCAATAAAATTTTCCATGTTTGAAGATCCTATAATTTAGAATTAAGCTCAGAAAAAACCTCATTTTGATGATGATACCATGCCATCCCCAAACTGCGTGATTTTGCTGGTCCATTGATAACGATATTTGATTGCTAAACATTAAACACTAATCAAATAGATATGGTTTTTATGGTAGATCAACAGGCGTAGAGGATATTCGAAGATTTTCCATGAGGGTCACAGCTCGGCTCTCTGTTATCTTATCCTGAGCTAGGATGTTCTCCGCATTGTCACCAGCAGGTGCATCAAAACTTCTGGTAAGGAAATTGCATCATATTCATCTTAATTGATAAGTAATGTTCAGCATATGACCATTTTTTTGGTCTTTCAAGTCCATTTATCATATGGAATACTAAGTTCTTTAAGTATACAAGCAGTAGAAGTGTATGAAAGACCCACATGAACACAAGAAGGCCATCAAACTTTGGCCAATAGAACTTAGGCAAAGTGTCTTAGTTATAAGAATTTAATAGCAGCAGAATTACAGCCAAAGGTTAAGTGGCCTGAATAAAGTGTGATATATAGATATTAATCCTAAATCACAGGAAAGAACAGTCTTCACAATGATACAGTAGCAATTCACATGAAACGAACATGCATAGGAACAATCAACCAATATCTGCAAGAATCATCATAAAGGGAGTATCTCCCATCATCTCATCTAGTAGCATTTGGGGTTAATGAGAATCCTTAGCACGACCACGGTTATTTCCATCAGAGACATTGTCAGCATGTTCTTCATCGATCTGGGTCAAACTACTGGCCCCTGAGTGATGGTGCCGGTGTTTGTTATGGTGGCTACTCTTGTGCCTGTATTGTAATGCTGAATCTTCATGATCAGCATCAGATAACCTCCCTGAGGCCTGGCTTCTAGCATCCCACCTCCAGTAATTACAATCTAATGAATCGATACTACATGATCGATGGGACCGCTCGTGTTGACGATGCCTTACACGCTTTTCCCTTCGATTATTATTCTCACGGCTAGAATCATCCGATGATGAATAGCCAATTTGTCTATGATGTCTGTGACGCCTGGAACGACATCTTTTTCTTGTCTCAACATCATCATCACTAGAACTAGAGTAACTTTCATCAGAACTTGAATTGTCATGCGCATGTCTTCGATGGTTTCTCTTCTTCCTCCTACCTTCATCAGAGTGCCCATCAAACTCATCACTGCTGTCATCATGAGATGAGCGACGTCGTTTCAGCTTTTTCTTAGATCTTCCTTCTTTCTTCTTACTATCACCTGAATCAGAGTGGCTATGTCTCCTGTGTTTCTTATGAGTTCTCTTACCTGCTTTCCTCCCTCGCTCATGGCTATCACTTTCTGAATCAGTATCAGAATTTGATACTGATCTTCTTTTATGCTTGGCAGCTTTAAGCTTCCTTGCTTTGGCTTCAGCAGCCTCTGCCTTAGAAGCAGCTTCAAGTCTTTGTTCCCATTTCAATGGGGCTTCCTTCTTCTCCAAAGCTCTCTTCTTCTTCTCCTCAACCAATTGGATGAATTTCTTGGTGTCCATTTAGATATAAAAACCAGCTCAATACCTGCATTTTGGTATGATGATGACCGGAAGTGCATCTCACAAAAGAGAAAAAACAATGTTAGTTCTTCCCATCTAAGCTGAAATCATATCCCATTCCAGAAAAAGAAAAGATTGAAGGATGCTACAACAAAAATGACGGACCACAATATTTTAGTACAAGAAAATTATTCCAAATGTAGTTTACTTTCTTACCTTATCTGCAGAAAATAAGTTCAGCCTTCAGGATAAGAATTCAGCTCCCCACAGCCAACTTCAGGCCTCCTCACTACACAAACATATGCACAGAAAAATCCACAGATTATTAACTATGACGAAGATCAAACAAGTCCACCTCGATGGTGTTAAAGAAAACTGTAAAGCCATGCTGCACATTCCCCACTTGGTTCAACTCATCTGCCCTATAATTTAAAGCAATCCTACATCTTTTTATTCCTAGCCACTATGATCATTGATGTTACTACGTTGAAACGAGACCAGGTTGATTCCCAAAGTTATTGTTCTTACAATAATTTACCAACATACGAAAGTTCTGTGGCGTAATTATGGAATTACAAACACTCTATAATCAGCAAAATTCACGTGAACCCACAAAACAAAGAACCCCAGAACCCTTAGCCAAGTGGGGGTTTGTTCAGAAGAGATCTACACAGCGAAAAAGAAAACAACCACCACCACACAAATCAACCAACCATAAAACTCAGATCTAGCCAAAAAGGAAGAAGAACAAAAAACAAAACAATCGCTAGGTCTGATGATCAAAAGGCCTGATTAGGGGATTGGAATGTTACATACCTGAATCTGAAGGCGAGTGGAAACAAGATTGCAAGAGAAAGAGGAAGATGGAAGGATGGAAGTAAGGAGACGACGAAGAAGAGAAAAGTGGTTAGGGCTCGTCTTTGACTTGGGGAGTTCAAATTTCAGCAAGCTCCCAAGGGATATGCCTAAATTGGAGAACAAATGCCACTTTTATATACGCGCCCTGCCGCCACCATCAACCTTTTCCATTTCTTTTTCCTTTTACCAAATTTTAAATTTAAATAATTTTTTATTTATTTATTAAAATACAGTTTTAGTCTCTACATTTTATATTTTGTTCTTAGTCCCTGGAATTATTTTTAATAACTTTTTCCTTTTAGAATTAGAAAAACTGAGTCAGTTGAAAAAATTGATAGGTTTTATTCTAAATTAATTTTAGACACAAATTATGAAAAATAAACATTATTTATAATTTGCTTATAATTTGGGGAGGTTGAATTAAAAGTATACTCATTTATGTTTTCAATTTTCTATCTTTAGGTCATTAACTTATTAGATATTTTATAAAATTAATAGTTTACTAGAGATAAAATTAAAAGATTAATTTCTTAAACATTAGTAAATTTATATTTATATTTTATAGATTAATTAACTTAATTTTTTTAATATACTTTTAGACATAATATTGAAACATAAAATTGAAAGTTCTTCATTTTTAAAGTCCAAGAATCTATCCTACAAAATCGAAAGTTCAAAGCATTTAGGGACTGAGTTAAAAACGAGAATGAAGAGCATATATATAGAGAGAGATAAACACGCTATAAATTAAGCTTTGAATGATAATACTTCTGAAACTTGCATTAAAAATAAGAAAAGAAAACCCAAAAAAGAATTAAGTTCGTAATTCTAGTATTAGCAAACTTGGATTTAAATGGATGATCCATAGTGTTACAATAAAACTAAGCATTCATGATGATTGTCAAGATCGGCACTGTACAAAGCCATTTGGGTGGGAAATCAATATTAAATACAACAATCACTCTGTAAAAAGATTCAATTCAAAGCACAACACCAAACAACAACAACAATTGAAACTACCTATGCAACCATTTTCTTCTGATTCTTCTAGGTGCTGTTTCTTCAAAATTTCCATTCACTTTTCAAATCTATTTACACCTAACACACAGATGAGCATCAAAGACCCATGGATAATACAGCCCCCTAACAGCTTTTCAAGGTTTGTGTTGGGCATATATTGATGTCTGGACTGCCTGGTGAGCAGACGGAGCTTTTCCATTGACAAGAACTTGTTCTAAGAAATCGACCCGGATTGAATTGAACTGGTAATGCTGGTTCAACATATTCAAACTCTAAGCTCATTTCCATGTCATTTTATGGATAAATGTGCAAATGAATTGTTATTTTTGGTGCAGTAATGAGCAATATTATTAAACATGCCATAAGACACTTAACAATCAAGCATCTTAATTAAATTAGACAGAAAAATAAAATTGAAAATAATTGAGATAAATACCTTTCCCTTCCAAGAAAAATCAAAGTTGCGATAATACGGTTCCAGTAATGTTATCTGATCTCCTTCCTTAACCTGGGAGGAATTTTTTTTTTCATAAGACTGATGAAAGATAACAGCACAAGGCATGGTTGTTGCAGGGTGCATTAAAGATTATGCAAAGCAATCTTAACATGAGATCGGTATCGGCAATCAAATCGATAAAGTTGAAACATAAAACCTGTATTACTGTATCTTACCGTATCATTCCGCATACCATACAAAGATACAACAAAGCATGCTTGGTTTGAATCACACACCAAATAATATCTGCAAACCAAACAATAAAGTTGTGATAATCTTGGCAACAGACACGAATGCAAGAATAAAAATACTATGCAACTTGTAGAATATAAGCAAACACTTCCTTTTTTTCTCTCAATCAAACCCCGACCCCAATTGAACTTGCACAAGTACGGCACAGACAAGAGTACATAAATAAAAAAATCCACAACATTACAGGAGCAGAAGAGAAACAATATAGGGTAGCTGCTGTAATAGCTAAAACGTGCACATTAAGGAGTGGCTGGCTTTTGTTGATGGAAACCCAAACTTTCATAAGGACAAATGAAATAAGTGTCTAGATGAACTAACTAACAAGGAAATTGGTTTCATCAGAGTCAATACGCATGGGGGAACTTACAGTGGGGCAAGACCATCATGCTTAATGAAGAACAACACCTTCCCAACTACTGCAACTGATTTGTTCAGACCCTCTGAGAGAAGGTCTACAGTGGCTCTCTTGTATGAGGAATTAGCTTAAAAAGTTAAAAAAAACATATAAAAATCAGTGAATATTGAATAAAAGGAGGGGAAAAAAAGAACAAAATTTGATGATTAGTAAATTGCATATTCAGTGTAGAAGAGATTAATATGTTAAAGGTCTAGTTACTTACAACTAACAATATCCACTGATGATGAAAAAGACGTGACTCTTCGTGTTTTAGCATGTGCCTAGAAGACAAAATAATATGAACATCATCTGTATACTAAGCCTCAGGAAAATCTGCATTCATTTATTCAGTCATGTTATCATTTTCCTATTTTTCAATAAAATTAATGAAGTAGAGACTGGATATGAGGTCTGTTTAGCATACATATTTTGTGTTTTGCAAATGAAAGAAAATGCATGAACCTAATGAGAAACTGAAATTAAAGAAGGTTTCTCTTTTCCTTTCTTAGCACACTCTTTGTATGGACAGTAAGGAAGATGGTAATCATCTCTCTTTGGCCTGTGTTTACCCTAGGAGATTCTGATTGAGATTTTGCAACAAGTTCCTTTTCACATGCCTCTTCCTCATTCAATTAAAGACTTATTGCTCAATACCTTGGTGGGCCTTTCTAGTAAAGGACTAAGGATGCAACTTTTGCTACTTCATGAGAAGCTTTGGATGGAAAGAAATAGGCAAATCTTCCACAAAGAGAGATCTTCGAGCGCTCTGAGTTGCACTCCTTTCTTATGTCTAGTTGGAATTCTTTGATTTGTAGTCACTTGGTTTTTTTTTTTTTTTACATCCAATCGGTTGGAGAAATTTTTTTGTAATCTTCTTGGTATTTAGATGGCCACCTTACTTATCCACCCATTTTTGTACCTTCCCTTTCTCTTCTAAGACCACAAAAAAATCAAAATATATAAATAAACTAAGAAGAAAAGTCTTTTCACTTCTTATTTCTAAGACCACTAATCATATGGAAGCCACATTTAAGAACCAGGCCACAAATCAAGAAACAGAAAATGATTATAAACAACTATATGCACGTGTGAATGTATTTAAAAACAACAAGAGCTTGTGCCAACCAGGAAATGAGAAGGAAACAAAAGAAACAAAATCAACACGTAGTCAAAAGATGTGCAAGATTTATCATATTTATTCGCAAAGATGCGAGCATACCTTCAACATGTTATCCAATTTGTCAAGAAGATTCACCATCTTGTGGACCTCCCTAGTAGCGCTAAGACTAGGATCCTTCAAAGCAGCAGCCTCAAATCCACTTAGGGCCCTCTCATAGTTCTCCAGATATTTGTTAACCTAAAAGAGGAACGAGTCAGAAATTATGCATATCTAAGAGAAGTTAATGAATTTGACTCTCTACAACAACATTATGTGAAGTGTTACAAAAGGTAGCAACGTGTAGTTAGGAATGAAATAAAAGTTTCCTCTGATCTTATTTGATTCACGTTCGACTCATAAACAAAAGCTCTCTACCTCTACCCAAAAATTAGGTCATTCTTTCCACTGCTTGCCACTACCATTTTCTTCCTCTCTTTCCTCATAATTAAAATTTGTGTCCTAATCATAATGGGGAATCTTACTCAACTCATACTTCAAAAATTATTGCCTAACATAAGAAACAAACCAAGGTGTTCACCCTCAACTAATACATGGAAAGAATTTAGCACATATTCTCAAATGCTTGCAACGGCATTCTACTCTGAAACTATCCTTGTTCACCCTCACAAATCTCTTCCTACATCGATTGACAATACACGGTATCCCCGTTCCTCAATTGACCAAACAAGTTGACAGGCTAATCATGACCAATTTTTGTCCATTACATAAGAAATTTTTGTCGAGCTGAAACAGACTCCATTCATTGATTGAATGACAGTAACCATAATATTATAAATTTTAAGAAGGTTTAAAATCTAACTACTTAATAAACTTATAGAAAGCAAGCAATCACATTTCAGGTCAAATTAAACTGAACAGGGAGGAGAAATTTAACTCACAGTTGCACAATTAAAATACAAGTCTGGATTTGACATCATTTTTTCATCTTTTTCCTGTAAAATAATATTAAAGATCAGCAAATTTTAAAGCCTCAAAATAAACCTGAAACTTTCAAAAGATGCCTACCGCATTTTGATATGCCTTCAAAGATTGCAGAAGCTTATTATGATCCCACGCTCCAGTAACAAAAAAACTTGTAAGGCATGCATTTCCTAGATTATCTGCGAGACAAATTAGTGTGGATATGTGACGAAAATTGCAAGAGTAAGCTAGAAGAAATAGGAAGACTGTATTCGACAACAAGGAATGAATATGCACATCAAAGAAAGTTCCAGTTCTGAGCATGTTACAAGAAAGTTATCCAATCTATTATAGAAGACCTTACAAATAAGTTACTACAAAGATATGGCATATAAAGAACCCATGCAAGTCATAATTACAAATAAACATAATGTTATCACAAGCTTTGATGTGCAATCTTACACCAAGAGTTTCCATCCTTCACATCCAAAGTAACTGCTTCTTTTGCATGTTGAATGCTTTCTTCTACAAGTTTTGCCTCATTCTCAGTACCTATAGAAGGAACAAAATTTTGAATAAACAGATGAGATGAGCTGACCTACATGTTCATTATCACGGTCAATCAGAAATTGTAACAAAACAAGCAAGTTAGTGAAATGAAAAATTCTATTAATTTGGAGGGCAAAAGAAAACTAGATCTATAACATTATGAAGTCTAAAGATTGCTTGTTTCGATGTCCAATATAACATGACATGCATGGTTTCCAAGATTAGCTAATATCAGCGGATAGTAGTCTAAACTTCATCAGAAAAGTTAATTCAAATTTTATTTTTAAAAAATTGAAAAA